TTTTTTTGGTCTTTTTGAGACAGGGTCTTGCTGTGCAGTTCAGGCTGGCCTTGAGCTCACTTTGTAGCCCAGGCTGGTCTCGAACTCACGAGGATCCTCCTGCCTCAGCCTCCCGAGTGCTGGGATTCCAGGCATGCACCACCATGCCTGGCAGCAAAATGATAGGAATTAATAGTGATTTGGGGACTATATTTGAAGTTGACCCCAAGTTCATGAATATCAATCCTAACACAACTGAGACTCTTAAAACCACATACTTGATTAGAAAAAAAATTCCAATGCAGAGAGAGAGATTATCTTAAAAGGGAGGTTGTTCAAAGATCAAGAAAGGTAGTAACATAGTCAGACATTGTGGTGCATGCCTGTAATTCCAGCTCATTAGGAGGCTGAGGCAGGAGGATTGCACATTTGAGCTCAGCCTGGACAACTTATCGAGACATGGTCTCAAAATTATAAACATAAAAAGGGCCAAGGATTGAGTGCAGGGTAAAGGCCCTGGATTCAATCCCCAGTGCCACAGAAAGGAAGGCAGTAACAGCTGGACCTTTCCCTGTACAGGACTGGAGGCCATCATTGTTGGTGAACTTCATGAGAGCATTACTCTGCCCTGTGGCAACATCTCGGGACCCAGGGGCCCGGTGACCTGGTACCGGAACAACTCGGAGCCCGTTTTCCTTCTCTCCTCCAACGCCAGCCTCATGCGGGCCGAGCCTCGCTTCTCTCTGGTGGACTCCAGTTCCCTGCACATCGACATGCTTAGCCTGCAGGATGCGGGCAGCTACACCTGCCGGGAGATGCGGAACGGGACCTGGTGGTTCCCGGTGTGGCTGCAGGTGGCCAGTAAGTGGGCTGGCGGGGACTGGGGCTGGCAAAACGCCCAGAGCCTTGGACACGATGTGGCCACTGGGGTGAGGCGCGGGGGCGGAGGGGTGGGTGGCCTGGATTTCAGTCTGGGCTCTGCCACTTGCAAGTGGAGTGACCGCTTGTCCCTGTGGTTCCTCACCTGTAAAATGGGGATTTAAAAAATTCCTGCCTCATAGAATTGCCGTGAAGACTAGAAGCTGTGTATGCGGTGTTTTAAATGGCTCTGGGCAGGTTAGCTAATATTTTAGGCTATTGTGAATACCCTTGCTCATATCATTTTATTATATAACAGTCAAACTGCCTGCCAATCCTAAAGCTACCACTTAGTTTTGTGTCACCTTGAGTAAGTAGTTTAATATCTCTGAGCTTCTGTCTGCCTTACTTACTGCTTGGGGAAATACACTGCATGTCTGTCGAGTAGAGCAAGTGCTTAATGCAGTAGTGCTAAGTACAGGGCTTGGTGCAGGCCACTGTGACTTACTGTCATATTTGCTGTGTATGCATAGGGATTTAGCGTGGGCTTTGTGGCCTGTGTCCTGTGTCCTGTGGGCTGTACCTGCCCAGCTACCAGCTGTGCACAAGGGTTTTTATATGGCCTGCAAGCTGTGAACTTTTTTTTTTTACATTTTTTAAACAGTTGAAAAAAAATCAATAGAAGAATAAATGAAATGCGATTCAAATTTCAGTGTCTGTAAATAAGGTTTTATTGGCGTACAGCCATATTCATTCATTTACACGTTATCTGCAACTGCCTTTGCCGCTACAGTGGCAGAGGTGAGTGCTGTGACATGGATCATGTGGTCTCCGCAGCCTGAGATATTTGCTCTCTGGCCTTTTGTACAGAAAGTGTGCTGGTCGCTGGTTTAGAAGGACATCCTTGTTCTGTACCCAGGATATGTAGTTTAGCAGAGATGAAATAATTGGTTCATTCCTTTATTGCACATAGATTTGTCGGGTGCCTGATGCCAGACACCATTGTAAGCACCGGGCTGCAGGAAAGGTCTCTGCTGTTATGCGCTGGCAGCCTGGGAGAGGGAGATGGACAAGAGGCAAGTGAACAAAGACCTCGGGGTGGGAAGTGCGGTGCAGAGCGCTGAGGTGGGGTCTCGTGACCCTGCGAAACACTTTAGACTGGGAAGTTAGAAAAGAGCTTTTGGAGGTATGGATTGGACATCTTTTGTCTGAAAATATGAAAGCCAAAGTGCTCCAATTTTTTTTTTTTTTTAATCTTTTTGAGATAGGGTCTTGCCCTACAGTTCAGGCTCAGCCTTGAGCTCACTTTGTAGCCCAGGCTGGTCTCGAACTTGCAATGATCCTCCTGACTCAGCCTCTTGAGTGCTGCAATTACAGGTGTGTGCCACCATGCCTGGCCAGATTTTTGTATTAAGAATGTTCAACTGATAAAGTCTGTGCAAATGTTGAAAAAAAAATCTGAAATCTGAAACACTTCTGTCACAGGCATTTTGGATAAGGGATACTTAGCCAGTGGGGATGTTTTATCTTTTTTTTCTATTTTTTACCTATTGGTATCTTCACGATAGTTTCTCAGGAAAACAAATAGACAAGTAATAGTGAGTTACAGACAAAAATGGCAGGAAATTATCAGTGGTTGTTGTACTATACCCTGGTTTCTCCAAAGTGGTCTCTAGG